CTTGTTAAGGGAGAAGAGCTGGGGGCCCGTCAGGGCGGCAGGCTGCCAGGCCCAGGCGCTGAGGGGAGGAGGGCACTGCAGCCCACACTGGGCTGGGGACAGCCTGAAAAGCACACTTGTTGAAGGACAGAGCTGGGCCTTGTTCACAGAGACACAGCTGGTCCAGGGCCAATGACTCCATATAGGTCTGGGGATTGAAGCTCAGGCCACTCAGGGGTTGAAGCCCTGCCTCCCCCACAGCCAGATCCCTCCTACCCCCTGCAGCCCAGACACCCCACTGAGTCACACCCCATGGGTGGGGCTTCAGGGAGGCCAGGGTGTGAGAAGTTAAGGACACTCAGGCAGAGGCAGGGAACCGGTCTTCAACACTCCCACCCCCTGCCCCTCGGGCAGGTGACCCAGCCTTGAGGCGCCCTCTCCTTCATCTGTCCAGGGTGCCTGGCACCAATATCTGTCCTGGGGACTTGACAGGGTGACTCATCTGCTCTGAGGCTGGCAGATGGGAGACCTTGGCCATCTCACCTTGTGGGCAGGTGGCGCGGCCACACCCTGCTCTTGGGAGTGTCCAGGAAGTGGTGGGGCAGCCTGTTGGGAGGGGCAGGGACAGTTCTAGGGGCTCAGAGGCCACAGCAGATGGGGGCTCAGAGCATGTGGGAGCCAGCAGGTCCTGGGGGTGGAGGCCAGTGCATATGGAGAGAGGGGTCAGAACAGGATGGGGCTGGGAGGGGTGCTGACCCAGCCTGGACATGCTGCCCCCTAAAGCTAGCTGCTCTGGATTAAGACAGAACCTGTTAGATGTGGGGGCTGCTGTGGCTGGGGTCGCTGGTGGTGGTGGCTGCTGTGGCTGGGGTCCTTGGTGGTGGGGGCTGCTGTGGCTGGGGTCCCTGGAGGTGGGGGCTGCTGTGGCTGGGGTCCCTGGAGGTGGGGGCTGGCTGTCAAGGAATGGAGGAGCCTCGGTGGAGCAGGATGGGGGGAGGGAGCTGGATTAGTATGTTTGACTTGGGGTTCCAGATTAGTGGAGTCTGTGGGCTGAGGGGTGGGGGCCAGCACCCTGTTCCTCTCTTTTCCTTTAGGGCTCATCTCCCCATCTTTAGAGACAACTAGGGGACTCCGGAGTGCCCAGGGCCTGGGTATGTATACACCCTGAATCTGGCCCAGGGGGGGAGGAGTGTTGATGCCCACACACTGATCACACAGAGGACACCAGGTCCCAGGCAGCCTGACTGGACATCTCCTGACTGGACATCAAGGTCCAGAGAGGTCTGTCCAAGCCTGAGCCCGGGTTTCAGGCCCAGCCCGGAGACGTGGACCCAACCACTGCCATCCACTCCACGAAGAAAACACCCTTGCAGGCCTGGGCTCCAGCCTGCTGGCCCTGGAGACCCTGGGACAGATCACCCCTCTGGTATGTTGCCCAGGATCAGGTCTGTGAGCACAGGCCAAGTCTACAGCAACCACGCCAGGTACTAGGGCCTCCCTGGCCGCCAGCCACCGCAGCGCTCAGAGCTGCCAGCAGAGGGCGCCAAAGCCACTTCCAAGGGAGGGCCCGGGAGCTCAGGTGGGCTGGGGCACCTGGATGCAGGTGTCTGGCACAGTCACCAAGGGTAGCCCTTGTTCCCACACTGGGCAGCAGCCCCACTTGACTTCCGGTCCCACACCCACTGAGCGCTCCTCCAGCTTGGGCCTAAGCTCCCTAAATCTAGTTTCGGCCACACCTCTGACTCTGGCCCAAACCTTCCCAGACCAGCCTCTCCCCTGACTCTGGAGGGCCCCTCTCGGGCAGGGGTGTGCAGGGCCCTGTCCCCTGGGATCAGGCAGACTTCAGGGTCCAGTAACCCGCCCCTCCCGGTCCCTAGGACAGACATGGGCTGCTGGGAGACTTGTAATAGCTTTATTGATATGTAGCCTGGGGGCTGTAACCACTGCTTGTCTCAGGCAGGGGGGCAGGGGGGGAAGAAGGGGGCTTCGAGGGCCGTGGGGCGGTGCCCGGAGCCACGACTGGGGTGATTGTTTCCAAGTCTGCCCTGCTCTTCTAAAGGATGCCCCCATCATGGCTTCAGGGGGTTCCTATCCTGGGACCCCTCCTCTGGCCACTGAGGGGTGGGGCAGCCAGGGGGTGTGCTGTGGGCAGTGGCTGGGGCAGGACTCGCTGGCAGGCTGGTGTCAGGGTATAGGTGGGTGCAGGAGGCAACAGCTATGGACAGGGGAGGGTGGTTGGGTTTGGGGGCCAGTGGAGGTGGAAGAAGGGTCCCCCTAACCTCCTGGATGTTCAGTTCTAAGCAGAAGTGGGGTGGGGTTGAGTGGGGGAGGGGCCTGGCCTCAGTGGACAGGTGTGTGTGTGGGAGGGGCTGGCACCTCGAGGTGGCAGTTTGGCTGAGGTCGGCCATGTTGTGGGCAGGTGGGTGGGGCCTGGCTGGGCTGGGGCCAGGTGGCAGCGGGGCTACCTGGTGGCCAGGCTGGTGGGATGGCCTCAAGCCAGTTCAGGGCCAATGGCACCCACCCTGTCCACCTCCTTGGTAAAAAACGCATGCACATATAAAAATAATACTCGGAGAAGTGGGCAGGGCAGCCGGCCGGCGCCATTGTCGACGAGCAGGAAAGGACAGTGGCAGGTCTAGCTCTCATCCGGCCGCCTCTGGTTCTTGGAATGAAACTTGTTCATGATCTCCTCCAGCTCGGAGCCGCCCTGCTGCTTCTGGGGAGAGGAGGGGCGGGGAGGGGCACAGCCTGAGCCTGGAGCCTCCCCAGGCCCTGGGGAGACTCCTGGCCTGCAGGAGCAGGCAGGGTGGAGGCGGGCATGGAGGGGACCCTCACCTCCAGCAGGGACTTCTGCACCGTCAGCTGGCTGTACACGCGACTCCCCTCCTCCCCGCACACCTTCTTCAGCTCCTCCTTGTTAAGGGAGAAGAGCTGGGGGCCCGTCAGGATGCCCAGGTGGTCCACGACCCTGGCCAGGCAGGCGGGCGGGGGGAAGGAGGAAGGGCGGCGTGAGCACGGGCTTTGGCGGCCGGCCAGGTGCCCCGCCCCGCCCCGCCCGGCCACCTGTCGGTCCCGCGCAGCTGCAAGCTCACCGCCGGCTGAAGGCCTTGGCTTCCAGCCAGGCGCGGACCTCGTCGGGGCCGGACGCGAAGGTGAGCGGCTGGCGCACGGGCTGGCTGCGCTCCACGCGGAAGTGCCGCGGCGGCTGCGCCTTGATGTGCGTGATCTTCTTGATGAGCTCGTCGTTGACCTCGTCCATGTGATGGATCAGCTCTGAGGGGGCAGGGGTCAGCCCGTGCCCGTCCCTCCCCTCTCCCCTCCCCCACTCTGCCCCAACCCGGGCGGCCGGGAGGCCCCCATCGCTCTCACCATCCTTGTTCCCAGCGAAGTTGGCAGGCAGCTTGTGGGTGGGGCTGGCAGGACCCCAGTATTTCGGACCAGCCTGTGGGGTGGACAGAGGTGGGAGCCGAGTCAGGTGGGCTCCCGGCTGACACGTGCAGCTCAGGGGATGATGACCCACCCAGGCCTGCCTCACCATCCCCGCCCGGTGGGGAGACAGCCCCCACCCCACCTCCAGAGGCCTCTGCCGGCTCGCCAGCCCTCTTACCTGCTCGAGGGGCGTGCCCACCTCCTCCAGCCGCACTTCGTCCAGGATGTTGCTGGGAACGTAGCCGGACTGCCCACTGCGGTTGCGCAGCTTCCACCACTGCCGGCCGTCCTCCACCACCTGCCGGGCCACCGCCTTCAAGGCCAGAGCCACGTGCCCACCGCCCTCCTTCTGGGCATCCAGGGGAGGACCCCTGGTCCAGCCCTCCCTCCCCATCTGCTCCGGCCACCCAGGTCTCTGGAGCGGAATTCTGGGTGTGGATCTAGATCGCCCTGCCCCCAGCCTGCTCCACTTTCTGTCCCAGCAGGTGGCCTGGATTTGGGGTTGGTACCAACAGTGGTGCCCCTGAGGGGCCTCTGAGGTGGGGGGGCGGGAAGGGTGCAGATGGCAAGTCCCAGTGGTCCCACTAAGGGGCTACCACCCCAGAGACTGCCCACCCCCCAGTCGGAGCCTGGACCCCTCCGAGATTCCCAAGGCAAGAAGACCCACTGTGCTGAGGGGTTTCAGCGCAGAGCCCCGGGATGGGGGCCCTGGCAGCATGCTGCTGCCCGGAGGCAGGCGGCCCTGACAGTGCCCCCAGACCCGCCCCATCAGAGCCTCACCTCCAGGACCTCGTCCTTGAGCACGGAAAGCTCATTGGCGTTCCGGGCTGTGAAGTCGTACAGGATCTTGACGTACTTGCCCATGGCAGGTGCTGGATCGTAGCCTCTGCTGGGACAAGAGGGTCTAAGGTCCAGAGGGGCGGAGGTCTCCTTGGAGGCCTGGCGGCCTGGCTGGGAGGGCGCAGCTGCCCCAGCACCCAGCCAGGTCTGAGTGCTGGGAGGCTGTGGCAGGGAGGCTGCTGCCAACCGCCAGTGGAACTGTGACAGTCCCAGCTAAGGTGGAGGGGGGGTGGGGCAGGCACAAGGTGGGTGGGTTGGGGGGGTGAGCAAGAGGCTGGCGTGAGCCAGATACAACAGGGTAAGGGCACCCCCACCCGCAGCCAGCCGACCAGTGAGCCTTCTGAGCACTGGAGAAGAGAGCCCAGCTCGGCACTGCCCCCCAGTCACTCACTCAGGGGCACAGGCACAGGGGTGAGTTGTCCTGGCTGGGGCGACCCTGCACCGTCCCTCCCTCCTCCAGGTGAAGCCCCAGGAGACCAGCCTCAGGGTCCCAGCTACCCGGCTCCCAGCGGGGCCAGGGTGGACTGACTCTGAGGCCAGAGAGCAGACTTGTTCAGGGGTGGGTAGCCAGTCCCTGGCCTCCTGAAGATGTCAGTCAGAGGTCTACAGTGCACCTGGCCAGCCCTGGTGTCTCCAGTCACCTCACACACATGCGACAGTGGCACATTGGATAAGGAAGATCACAGAATAGATCCATTTGAAGTACGGTGCTGGCGAAGAATATAGAAAGTAACACGGATTGTCCCAAGCGCAAACAATTCTCTCCTGGAGGAAGTAGAGCCAGAGTGCTCCCTAGAAGCAAGGCTGGCAAGCCTTCACCTCACATACTTTGGGCATGCCGCCAGGAGGGACCAGCCCCTGGAGAGGGACCCCGTGCTTGGTACAGCAGGGGCCAGGGAGAAAGAAGACGCTCGGGAGCCAGACTGACGCCGTGGCTGCAACAGTGGGCTCAAACTTGGGAATAGGCATGAAGCGGCGGCAGGACCGGGCGGTGCTTCCTTCCGATGTACTTCTGGTTGCTGTGAGTCTGGACCCACCCGAGGGCACGTACAGCAGCAAAACTCAAAACATCACAAAACGCACCGCCATGGAGTCAGTGCCGACTCCTATGTACCCCTTGGGCAGCGCAGAACTGCCCCTTTGGGTCTCTGAGGCTGCTCATTCATCTTCACGAAGCAGAGAGCTTCATCAGTCTCTCCGGTAGATTCGTACTGCTGACTGCAGTCAGCAGCACAATGCATCACCCACAGCACTTCCTGAAAGCGGCCCAGCTCCACACGGAGCTCCTGGCCAGATGGGAGACCAGAAAGGAGTGGGGCAAAGGCGGACAAGGACAGCCCATCTCTGTCCGATGTGTGACATGTATGTGGGATGGTGTGTGCATGCTACCTTGTGCATACATCTGTAGGTATGCATGTTGAAGGGGGCTATTTAGTCTAGCCCCCACCCCCTGTCCTAAGCCAACCCCAACTGCTCCATCCGGGGACAGTCAGTGTGTGGGAAGCCATCAGGGTTTTGGTGAGTGAGGGGCATCATGACACTCATGTGTCATGATGTGTAAGGCGGGGTGCTTCTGGCTCCCGTGAAGGCCCATGGAGTGTTAGAAAGTTAGCAGGGGCGAGATCCAAAGCCCATTAGTAGGCCACTGGAGATCCCCTTGCAGAGGGGTCTCTGGGAGGAGATGAGCCAGTCAGGGTGCGATGTAACAACGATGAGAAATACAACTTTCCTCTAGTTCCTAAATGTTTCCTCCCCGCTCCCACTACCATGACTCGAATTCGACCTTGTAAGGCTGGCTAGACCAGAGGATGTACACTGGTACAGATAGGAACTGGAAATCCAGGGAATCCAGGGCGGATGAGCCCTACAGGACCAGTGGTGTGAGTGGCGAAACAGGGAGGGTAAGGGGAGAGTGGGTAGGAAGGAGGGAACCGATTACAAGACACTATATGTGACCTCCTCCCTGGGGGACAGACAACCGAAAGGTGGGTGAAGGGAGACGTCGGACAGGGCAAGATATGACAAAATACCAATTTATAAACTATCAAGGGCTCATGAGGGAAGGGGGAGCGGGGAAGGGGGGGGGAAAAATGAGGACCTAATGTCGGGGGTTTAAGGGGAGAGAAAATATTTTGAGAATGATGTACAAATGCTCTTTACACAATTGATGTGAGTATGGATTGTGATAACAGCTGTATGAGCCCCTAATAAATGTTTAAAAAAAAAAGAAAGTTAGCAAGGGCACCCAGGTTTACCTGGAAGGCAGGCACTTTGAAGCCTGTGAGAAAGGTGTTTACCGCCACCTGGTGGTAGCATACCCAAACAAGGGGGTGGGGATGGTCCCAACCCCGAGAGATCCTGCACCATCCTGTGGTGCATAGCGGGCAGAGTGGGGTCTGGAACATGCGTGTCCAGCATGCTCCTTGTGGCCTACCTGTGGGCGTGCGGGTTGCTGACCGGTGGGAGGGCATCCCCCAGGGGTGTGGGCTCAGATGTCAGGCTGTGCTTCGGGGGGTTCCGGAAGGATAGTCGGCTCACTGGAGGTGGCTGTGGGGACAGGGATTGGTCTGGGCTTGGTGTGGGCGGGGCCGAGAGCGAGCGTGTGGGCAGGCTCTAGGTCTGGGGACATGAGACACAGGACAGGGTTGATAGGGGTGATGTGACTGAAGGGCCAGGACAGGGACCCAGCCTGACCCCAAGCCAGGAGGGTGGTGGGGTGGGTGGGTGGGTGGTGGGGGAGGCTGTTGGCCAGGTGGGGCTGTAGGCTCTGACCTCGTCACGGGGGCCGGCTGGCAGCCCCTCCACCTCCCAGGGGGCCTCCCGAAGCACGTCCAGAGGTGGCTCCCAGCCGCTGTGGAACTTGGGCTCATATGGCAGCACCTGAGGCTCTCGTGGCCACTCAGCCCTGGGGAGAGAGGTCTGGGGGTAAGCCGCGCCCCTGGCAGCCTACAGGTTCCGCCTCAGTCCACACCCGCCCCCTTTACCAAGGCTGGGTCCTTTGCCTGCCCCTCCCCCTGCCAGTCCCCCTGCCTTACCGGGGGCGGGTCCAGGTCTCGCCTAGTGACTCCCACAAAGCCATCTCCTTGGGGATCAGGTGGCCTCGCAGGAAGCCCACTGCGTCTCTGGAGAGCAGGGGGCTGGAGACAGAGCGCGCGAGGTCGGGGCCCCCACAGGTACTGACGATCTAGGGCAGAGCAGGGCTTAGAGGGGGTCTGCCTGACGGACCCCAGGTCCCATGGCCCTCTAGCGAACCTGCGGCCTCCACGGTCGGTCTGCCCTTGGGAAGGGACTCGGGGCAGGTCAGGGGTCTGAGAGATGGCCAAAGCAGGGCAGGGCATTAGCTCCCACCCTTCCCCACCCCAACCCAGTCCCAGCCCCCGCCCCCCGAGCCCCGAGCACCAGTTCCAGAGGCCCGAAGAGGAAATGCAGCAGCTCCGCAGCGCTGGGGTTCTGGATGTGCTTCTGCAGCTTGGCCTAGAAGTGGGGAACGTGGGCCATGGCCCGAGGACAGGGGGCATGTCAGAAGAGGGGCGGGGCAGATGATAGTGGGTGGGGTCACTAGAGAAGGGGTGGGGTCAGAGAAGGGGGAGGGTCTCAGGAGAAGAGAGGCGTCAGAGGAGAGGGTTGGGGCAGACGATAGTGGGAGGTATCAGAGAAGGGATGGGCCAGGTCAGAGGACATGGGGCGGGGTCGGAGGAGCAGGGCCGAGAAAATGGGGCGGGCGGGGCTGGGGCTACGGACTCACTAGCAGGTTGATGGCCAGTTTCGTTTTCTGGAAACAGTCGACGAACTCGGCCTCAGAGGGGGGCCGCGATCGCAGCGTGAGGACGCCCTCTGGGCACGGGGCAGGGGCGGGGCGTGAGCCTGGCGCTGCCCAGTCCCGGGCCCCGCCCCTGGCCCCGCCCCTACCCCGGGGCCCCGCCCCCGCACCTGCTGGCCCCTTCTTGCTCTTCTTCTTGGCCTTCTTGCGCTGGTTGAGCTGCTTGAACGCCTCGGCGGCCTTCTGCAGCCTCGCCACGAACCACTCGATGTCGTCCAGGGCACAGTTGAGGATTTGCTGGGGTGGGAACAGGGACTGGGGTCAGGGCCTGCGGCCCCGCAGCCCCTCGGCCCCTGGCCTGTGGGGGAGGACGCTGGTCGCGCCTGGCCAGGGGTCTGCGAGGCCCACCCCACTGCCGCCCCCCAGCCCGCAGCGCCCACCGTCTCCTTCTCGATCTTTTGCGCCAGCACGGCCCGCGGCTCCTCCTCCTGAGAGTCGCGCCGGCGGAAGGCTGGAGAGGGACAGGGCCGCTGTGGGGCGGGGGCAAGGACCCCCTGCAGGCCCCAGGGCTGAGGCCGCCCCACTGCCCCCGCCCCGCCGCCTCCTCCCGCTTACCTGACTCGCTGACCGGCACCGGCATGCCGACACGGTTTTTGGTGGCCTGGGGAGAGTCCCCAGCACCATAGCGGTGGAAGGGGATGGGGGCCGGGGCCTGGGGCGGGGGCAGGATGGACTGTCGCTGGCGAATCTTCTCCTGGTGACCCCTGCCGTGCCACAGAAGGGCCGCTCAGTCTGGCCGAGTCCCAGCCCTGGCCCCGCCCCAGCCCTCGCGCCCCACCCCCACCCTGCCCTACTTGAGGGTCTGCGGACGCATCTTCTTCCCGAGGCGGCAGTCAGTGAGGGCGCTCTCGATGTCCTCATGCACTAGCTCGGCCTGCAGGGACAGGGCGTCAGGCCTGGCCGGCTCAAGGCGCGCGCTGCCCCGCGGCCACGGGCCCTCACCTCGACCTCGTCACAGTAGAAGAAGTGCACGTCGGGCTTGTTCTGCTCCAAATCCTGACACACGAGCAGCAGCACCGACGGGTAACGCAGCTGGTTCAGCACGGTCTGACAGTGCTGCACCGTGGGCAGTGGGAAGTTCTCCAGCTCCTCCTGGGGGGGAGCAGGGAGCACAGGGAGGCTGGGGGGCGCTGCGCAGTGGGCAGTTCTCCAGCTCCTCCTGGGCGGGGCAGGGGGCACAGGGAGGCTGGGAGGGGGGGTGCTGCTGCGCAGTGAGCAGTTCTCCAGCTCCTCCTGAGCTTGGGAGGGGGGAGGGGGGAGGAAGCTGGCACCAGGACACTGGTAGGGGCTGCAGTCAGGGCTCAAGCACGAGGGGCACGGCTTGGATGGGGGTGGCTCCAGGCCTGGGACGTGGGTTCAGCTGACCCCCAGAAAAGAGGAGTTCTGTGTGATGCCCACAGTCCCAGGCACATGGGTGTGGCTTTTTAATGAGGTCAAGGACCAGGTAGAAAGATGACTTGGGCATAGAGGGATGGGGCCAGGAGGTGGACCATGGGTACCAATGGAGAAGGGCCACTGTTGAAGGACATGGCCAGTGATGGCCGAGGCACACCATGAACCATAGCCCCTCGGGGCCCTCCCCCGGTGCCCCGCCCCACACACCTGGGACTCGACATCCAGCAGCCGCAGGGTTTGGTCATTGACCTGCAGCAGCATCTCCTGCATCCAGATCTTCTCCTTGGAGCTCAGCTGCACCAGCTTCCGGATGGCATCGTCCACAGAGACGATGGCCTCACTCTTGTCCATGATGAATGTGGCCAGGTGCTGGAGGTGGGTGGGCAGTGCTGGGGGGTGCTGCCCTGTGATGGAGCCCTCCCCCCTCTGGGTCCAAGGGGCCATGCCCATCCTCAGGGGCCTCCAGGGGCAAAGCCTTACCCTGGGGGCTGGGGGTGGGCAAAGCTCTCCCCTGTAGGCTCTGAGAGCACACAGCTTAGTGGGTGGGTGGGGGGCAGTGAGGAGATTGGGCCCACCCTGGGGGCTCCGAGGGGGATACAGCTCCACCTTAGGGGGATTGATCTCTCACTTGATGGATATCCACAGGGGGCATGGCCATACCTTGAACCCCTCAAAACTCACAAGCACATTGAGGCCCTAACCCACTTACCCCATCTCCACCCAATACCTGTGCTGACCCAGGACCACCAGGTGCTCACTGCCCGCTACCCGCTTTGAAGCCATGTGGTCTACCCTGACCATCTGGCACATGGTGTCTGTCCACCCTGGCGTGGCATCATTTTCCTTTAGCACTACTCAAGGTGAAATTGGCACTTTATGGTTCCAGACTGTTTACGGCTGTGTGGTTACTGCATGGGGTAGGGGGGTCTGCTTATTTGCACTGGGGGGTGCCTGACCCCCATGACCATGTGTAGTATACGAATGTCCTGGGTTCTGGGGTGAACTCTGCCCAGCAAGCCACAGGATCCTCACCTGGTCATGGGATTCTCACCTGGTCATAGAACCCACACCTGGTCATAGGACTCTCACCTGGTGATAGGGCCCACACCTGGTCATAGGACCCACACCTGGTCATGGGACCCACATCTGGTCATAGAACCACACCTGGTCAAAGGACCCACACCTGACCATAGGACTCTCACCTGGTCATAGGATCCACACCTGGCCACGGGATGCTTCCCAAAGCCTTTCCCTGTGCCATCCACCTGCTCTCCATCTAAGCCATCGACAAAGGACCCCCACTGCTGCCAAGCTTCCCCCCTTCCTCCCCATTGTCTGGCCTGAACTCTCTCAGGAAGAAGCAACACCAGGGACCATGATGGGTCCACTGGACGCAGGCGGCCTCCAGTTGGCCAGGCAGAGGCCTCCCTGGAACACAGGCCCTGAAAGTGCTAGAAGGTTCTGGTCATCTCGGACCTTGATCCCCCTAAGAAGACAGACCGTGCAGAACTTCAAAGGGAAATCCCAGTCAACTCAAAGGTAAGGAGAACCCTACAGACAACAGCAGAAACCAGGCGCGGGGAGAAGTGGGGCAAGAGAAGGCCAATCTCTCGAATGTAGACAAGGACCGTGAGTCTGTAGCAGACACACCTCTTTGCCTGCGGTCCTGTGTGGGCCAATGGGAATACTTCTTTCAAATCACAGTAGTATAAATCAGAGTAAGTGAAATGTGAAAGATGGACACGTCAGAAAGCAGGGGACGAGCAGAGTTCACAGGAAATGAGTGAGATTTCCAGGAAGCAGGCTGCGTGTTCAAAATGATAATGGCAGGTCAAAGCTCCAGGCGGCCTCCCACGAGGAATGACCCACCGCCCATTAGAGGTTTCACTGCTCATTGCGCCCACTTCCACGGATCTGGACTACCATGGCTGCATCAGTCTCTGGGGTGCAGCATGGTGACCCCTGTGAAGGGCACGGTCTTCACCTCACAATTTCACTGCAGGGAGACGAGACGGCGGAAAAGCGACTGGGACAGGGCAACAGGGCTGCTCACTGGGATGAACCAGGAGAATGACCTACTTGCCCACGCGCAGCAAACACGGCACGCGTGCCAGGCAGCCGACCTGCCAGTGAGGACAGCGCAGTCGCTGTGAGAGGATCGATGCCACTACAAATGCCCTCTCACAACTAGGGGAAACACCCCCAGGAAGAAGGTAACTGGCCAGTCCCAACGTCATCAGGAAGAAGCCACGCCCTTCCACGGAACCCTGGGCAAGGAGACCATCAATCAGCTGACATTCTACCCCGAAGGAAGGATAACAGCCACACAAGCCCAGCTTTGTGGACCCAGCAGCAGCGCGCTCCCAGCCATTCATGAGTATGGAAATAAGGAAGACAGGATCGCTGATCTAAGCCAGGGGTCAACAAGCGTTTGAGATGGGCGAAGAAAGCTGAGGGTGCCCGGCTATCAAAAGATAAAGCGTCTGGGGTCTTAAAGGCTTGGAGGTAAACAAGCGGCCATCTAGCCCAGAAGCAACAAAGCCCACCAGCCTGTGCAATCACGAGGTGTCGAAGGGATCAGATATCAGGCATCATCAAAACAAAAAATCACATCATAGAGAATGCAGAGTGGAGACCCAAAGCCCACAGGCCACTGGACATCCCTTTACTGAAGGGTCTCGGGGAGGAGAGGAGCCAGTCAGGGTGCAGTGTAGCAACGATGAAACATACACTTTCCTCTAGT